CCACCCGCGCCCCCGCTCCGCTTGCCTTTTGCCCCTCTGGGGCTAGGGTGGATTTTAGAGACCCTCCTGGCCCCTGTCCCTGTCCTGACACTGTCCCACCTACTTTCCTTAGCCTGTCTCCTGGGATGACCTGCCTCCCAGTCCCCTCGGCTACCTGAGCCCTGCCCCAGGAGGTCCCGACACAGATGGGCGAGCTCCCCGCCCCAGAACTTCTCCCTCCTCAGACCTTGTCCCCTGGAGCACCAGCACGTCTCTCTCCTGCTCACTCTACTCCGTTACAGCACAGAGCAAGAAGCGTGCAGGCAGAGATGCAACCTGTGGCGAGAAACTTCTCATCCCTAGCGACTTTTTCTCACCGCTTTGCTTAAAAATTGGCTTTTTTCCACCCCGCTACTCAGTTGTTGAGCTCACGTATCAGTGAGTATTTAACTTTTTTTTCAGTTTCTTTCCCATACCTTATGAAAAACTGGGCGAGAACCACAGTGTCTTACGTATGTCGCATGCACGTACTATCCCATGCCTTTAAGACAAAATACTTGCACAGAGCGTTTATGTCACCAGAACATCTCCCTAGTGTCAGAAAAGCCCCCGTGGCCAGGTGTCACGCTGCCACGAAACTCACAGCTGCTTACAAACGCGACGTGGGCACGTGTCAACTCTTTTTGCCATTCCCCCCTCCCCGGTTCCCAGTTTCTTTCTTTCCCACCCTTCATTCTCGCACAGCCTGGGAACGCTGCTGCTGTTTAGACTTTGTCTGTGTCTAAGGCAGGACATTTTAACACAGATTCGAACAGGGCTGGGGCAAAAAATGTTTTGACTGGCGTCATGTTGACAAGGTCATCCGTCATCTGCTGTATAGATTGATAACACCTTAGTTAAAGGGAAACACGAGCAGGAAAAAAACCCCGATTTTTATGAGTTATGAAGCTGGCTATGAAAACCGTCTTTATGTCTTTGATCAATTCCATTGTGCAACACATAATGAGTCTTCAGCCCTCTCGCGCTGTTAATCCACTTTCTGAAGTCCTGAAACACTGCCGCCAGCCGAGGGACAGAGGTGCGGGGCGGCAGCCTGGCCGCACACTCGCCAGCGTGCGCCTGGCGCGGTGCTGGACGCGCTCATCTGCCGATGGGCGCCCTTCGTTTTCTCTGTTTTCACTGCATTAACACAGTGTCTCGTCCTTGGCCAGCTCCCTCCTGGTCACAGTTTTATTCCGCCCTTTCCGACTCTCTTCATTTTCTCAAATGCGCACCTCTGCGTTATTGTTGTTTTCCTTACAGGACATCTTTTAAAAACACTGAATTGCTTTTAGTGGCAGCAATCTCTAAAAATTCGTTTCACGCTAGAAAAACGTGATGAAGTGGGGAAAAGCTCCTAGCTAATGGGCTTAAGTACATTGTCAATATCTGCACTTGCTTTGAGTTGTTAACAGAAATATTGCATGCGGGTTCATATTAGGAGGTCTTTAATCTGTTACTGCAGTTTGTTGGGTTTTTTGGTTTTGTTTTTTTTTTGTTTTGTTTTTTTTACAGCTAGAAAAGTAGCGCTTCGAGGGATCAAGGTGGGAGAATAAAATTCATAGACTTCCCTGACACTTTGGGACCTAACCTAACCGGAGGAAAGAGGAAGAAAGAAGTACAAGGCTCGCCGCCTGCGCCCGTCCTCAGGGCCGAGCGGGCAGCAGGAGACGGCGGCGCGGTCGGCGGGCGGGCG